CGGGCAATGAACCTCACTGCCTCCCAGTTGCCCGCATCCCAAGCGGAGCAGGCAGCATCTCTCAGGAGGCCAGATTTGGCTTTGCATTGGCCGGGGAGGGCCTCACATCGCAGAGACGTTTATGAGGAGAAGCCTGGGCCTCTCTTTTTGTGGAGACGGCCGGGTGGGGTGAACCCGATTAACTCACAAAGTTAGGCTGTTGGGCCAGGTTTTTTTTGGGGGGGGGCGGGGGCGGGGGGGGCGTGCCCTGTAGTTTGATCATGATGGGATTTTGGAGCAAGTGTGTGTAACTGGAGGGCGGGCTGTGGTTGTCATGGCAACTCGGTCCTGTCATCGGAGGATGCTGTTGCTGTGGAGGAGCAGGCGGGTCGGCCCATAAATCATCCCTGTCATAGCAGAGGGTGATGTATTCCATCTGCTCGGCCGCTCTGGGCTGCAGCCCACTCTCCTGGAATGCCCGGTGCCACCCGCCACCCCTCTGACCCCCCCCCCAATGCTTCAGGAAGGTGGCAGCAGCACAGACCCTTTTTTTGAAAACAGCTCTCTGCTTAGCACGGCATGTTGACTCATCCCGAGGCTGTAAAGATGCTGTCTTTTCATGGCTTGTAAATATTGTGGGTAATAATGAGGAGGGAGTCTGGTGTGTAATTCTGCTGGTGTGCATCTTTTTAAGAAAGGGGGGGGGAGCTTTTCATGTGTGAATCTGAGGATGCAATCTTTGTTCCTCTGTAAGTATTAAAGGCCGCGCAGAACCCTGTGTGATTAAACGTGTAAGGCCAGATAATACATTTGCAAAGGTTCTTTTATTTTAGGTTTAAGCCTGGATAATTGTGGGCTTAATCTCAGAGCAGGCAAGAAAGAGAATTGTACATGAAAGTATTTACACACAGTTCCCAAAGTCCCGTGGATTATACGTTCGCTTGGATAATGAACCGGCGTAGATAGAAAGCAAAGGAAATCAGGATATTTGCGCCATTTCTAATGTGTTTTCCTGAACATTTGCCAAACAATAACCCTTCAAGATTGTGCCCACTGAGAGTTATATGGCAGGAGGAACATCTGGTTTATTTCAGTGCTTAATGCCAAATCAAAACACTTGGCCTTTAATTTAAAGGAGATCAAAGAGGAGGGCTGTTTAACTTTGTTGATTATATCGAATCTCTTTGTCGGAACCTGTGTTTTGATTCCTACCTCCGAGGCGGGGGGGGGGGGCACCCTTTGTGCCTTTGGATAGCTAACTGGCCAGTGGTCCCTGAACAAAAGAGGAGACAGTGTTGGGACTGACTTTTCCAAGTAATCCTGAATGGCTTTTGTTGCTCTGGCTCCCCTGTCATTAGCATGACAAAGCTGCCCTGAAAGGGACTCTGGAGGGCTGAGAGGAGCTCCCCCGGCTGGGTGCAGCAGCCCCTCGGTCGGTCAGCCTTTGTGTGGGCCTCTCTCTTCATTAGAGCCGGGCATATTGGCATCCCGCAGACTAGAATGGGCCATGACTGGAGCAAAGGAGGGAGAAAAGGAGTCCCGTGAGCCTTTAAGCCTGGCAGAAGGCCCCAGTGATTCATGGGTGTGGGGGGGGGGAGGTTGCATGGAGAATGAGCTCTGCCTTTTGTACTGAAATTGGGGGCCTTAAGAGAGACCTCTTTCCTTCTTAACGAGGCACAGCGAGGATTGCAAATGATGCTGATATTGGATCTTATCCTGCCTCCTCACGATGGACGGGGAAGGAGAAGTTGCTTATTGTGGACGAGAAGAGCCACGAACCCACGTGACTGGCTGGCTGTTGTGTTTCTGGGCACGTGTCTGTACCCTGGCGACCCGGGTCGCAGTCTGGTTTCTGTTTTCCAGAGATGCTGCAGGTGGTGAATTGCAGGAATCGTCCATGCAGGGGGGCACATAGCAAATTGGGTCGCGATACAAGGGCGTTGTTTGTGAAAAGCTTTTCTTGTGCAAGCCCGTCTCGATTTATTTTAGTTAGAAGAACTTTACCCTTCTGCTAAAAACACCCAGGCAGGCTCCAGAGAAGGGGGGAGAACACCCCTAAACCCCAGGGGCAACGAGAGGAATAGATAGAAACACACAGGGGCAGCGGAAGCCGCGGGAGATGCCTCAGCACCACGTCAGACAACCAGCCCTCCTCCCTGTCTTCGGGGCGCCCCCCCCGCCCGGCAACCCCCAGCCATCCGGCCCGTGGCTCTTGCATTGGCCTTCTCGGCATGGGGTGGCTGTTCACAGTCGATTGTTATTGACAGGTCAGATGAGGAGGGCAAGCGGGACGCACAGTTTGCCAGTTGCATAAGAGAACATAAGAGAAGCCAACGTTGGATTAGGCCAATGGCCCAGCCAGTCCAACACACTCTGTGTCACACAGTGGCCAGAAATACCAGGTGCCCTCGGAGGTCCAGCAGTGGGGCCAGGACACTAGAAGCCCCTCCCACTGTTGCCCCCCCCCAAGCAACACCCAACAATACAGAGCATCCCTTGCCCCAGACCGAGAGTTCCTATAAGAACATAATAGAAGCCAACGTTGGATCAGTCCAGTGGCCCATCCAGTCCAACACACTCTGTGTCACACAGTGGCCAAAAACACCAGGTGCCCTCAGGAGGTCCAGCAGCGGGACCAGGACACTAGAAGCCCCTCCCACTGTTGCCCCCCCCCAAGCAACACCCAACAATACAGAGCATCCCTTGCCCCAGCCTGAGAGTTCCTATCTATACCTTGTGGCTAATAGCCACGGATGGACCAGATGTTTATCCAGTTCCCTCTTGAAGCCATCCATGCTTGTAGCCGCCACCACCTCCTGTGACAGTGAATGCCATGTGTGAATCACTCTTTGGGTGAAGAAGGACTTCCTTTTATCTGTTATAACCCGACTGCTCAGCAATTTCATTGACTGCCCACGAGGAGTTCTTGTTCTGTGAGAAAGGGAGAAAAGGTCTTCTTTCTCTACTTGCTCTATCCCACGCATAATCTTATCAACCTCGATCATGTCACCCTTCAGCTGTCATTTCTCCAAGCTCAAGAGCCCCAAGCGCCATAACCTTTCTTCATAGGGAAAGTGTTCCAACTCTTTTAACCCTTTTATATCATTCTAGTCCAGGTGAACGGCCAACTACAGTTGGGCTTCAGACGAGAGGAGGCAGTGGCAGGGCCGGTGTAAGCCCAAGACCGGAAGCGGGCAGGGGGAAAGGGGGTGGGTGTGCCAGAGGGTGTTTGGCATCACTCCCAACTTGCCCATTGTCCAAGCAAGAGGTTAAGCAGTGGAATGAAGGGTGCCTAGCCAGTTCTGGGCCCTTCCAAGGTGGTGAAATGGAGTTGCGGTCACTGCTCTATGACATCTTTTCAGTCTGCTCTTTAGTAGATATTTTTCCTTGTGCTGACAGGTCTCTCTCTCTCTTTCCCCCACTGTTTAGATTTATTCACCCGACCATACCAGCAGTAGTTTCCCATCAAATCCCTCGACACCGGTTGGATCCCCATCACCTCTCAGCGGTAAGATCCAGCGTCTTTTTGCTAGCGACATCCTGTTGGGAACTTGCCCTGTAACTGTCCTCTACGTTGATCCCGAGGATAGAGAGGGGAGTATATCTGAAACGGAAAACCGAGTATATCTGAAGCCGTTGCAGTTGGTGGTACACGGAGTCTGCCAGGCCCAGTGCCTGTTTGGTCTTCTGCCCGGAACATGCCGAGAGAGACCAGCAGGAGCTCTGCCTTGGCTACAACAGGGACAGGACCTCACCCGGACTCCTGCAGGGCCTTGACACTGACCCAACGACACCCACCCACCCCCGCTGGTGGATGGGCCCGGTGTCTCTCTCAACCGCCGTGTATTCTGTCCAGTTCATCAGGCTTTGGAAACTAGCAATACTGTTGATGAAAAATGGGAAATGCTAGATTTTAAGCAGAGGAGGTTATCTTTCACATCACCACTGACAGTAGGATAACTTGCTAAAATCTGCTGACACTCTGCAAGATCGCGGCCTCGCTCCATGCAACCTGGCAACTTTCTGTTCCTCACTAAAGTTTTCCGGCCAAGGAAGAGGGGGAGCTGGTGCAGCTGCATTCTTGCCTAGAAAACCAATGCTCTGTGTAATAATTTGCGGGTGGCTCGGAAGGGCTGGGGGGGAGGGGGAGGAGCCCTCCCTCAGGTGGAGACGTCCTCCGGGCAGCTGCTGCATCCCGAGTGGCTTCTCCGCCGTGGCCTCGGCGGCCTGGGAAACGCGGAGCAGCTGCTTCACAGGCACACGGAGGATTTGTGAAAGCCCCGCTGACTCCGACGTGTTAGTTAACGAGGAATCCGGACTCCTGGCTGGGTGACGTAACCTTATAACACTCTTCCCTACCAAAGCGTGGGGTTTTGAGAACCTTTTATAGGGAAAGCCCTTGCTGCAGCTGTGCTGCCTCGTTAACTGGTATGCAAAACGGGCATTTGTTCCTGCAGGGCCTTGGCCTCAGCCCCCATCTTCACCGGGCTTGTGGGTGGCGTGGAGCGTCATAGACCCCTTGCTGTACTTCCCTTCCCTAAAGAGCTCTAAGGGCTTCCGCCTTCCAGTTTGGAAACTGAGAGCCAGCTGTCTGGTGTAGTGGTTAAGTGCGTGGACTCTAATCTGGGAGAATCGGGTTTGATTCCCCATGCCTCCACTTGCAGCTGCTGGATGACCTTGGGCAAGCCATAGTTCTGTCAGAGCTGTCCTTGAAGAGCAGTCCTTGAAACAACTCTCTCAGCCCCTCCTACACCTCACAGGGTGTCTGTTGTGGGGAGGGGAAGGGAAAGGAGTTTGTAAGCCGCTCTGAGACTCCCAAGTGAAGGGCCATGGAGTGTAAATCTAATCTCTTCTCTCTTCTCTTCTTCTTCTTCTTCTCTTCCCACGTCCTCTGTGGACAAGGGAAGAAACAGCCGGCTCAGAAGGGCAATCAGTGGGGGCCGAACGATTGAGGGGCGCCTCTGTTTAAAACGAACGGCCATCCGTGCAGAGAGGAAACTGGCCTGTGCAAGGGAAAGCCTTTCAGACTAGGGCCTGGGCCAGGTTCAGGGAGATCCTGCCCCCCGGAGGAGTGTTGCTGAGCCATCCGAGGGCCCACCTGCAGTCCGAAGCAGCAGGCTGGGCCCTGAATGCTTTGTGCCGGGACCCTAGAAATAGTAAATTTAGCAAACAACAGAACTATTGGGTGAAACTGTAAAGCAACATAACAGCTGAACCAGCTTTCCAAACCCCAAAGCCCGTCTGCAAGAGCAGTGGCCACAGCCACTGCTCTACATAGCTATACAGCAATAATCTCTCTCCTGCTTGGAACTCGGAAAGGGCTACCCGGAAGGTCTCTCCTCTGAAAACGGTCCAGACTGAGAGCTGCCCAGCTTCAGCGAGGGTGGGACATCTTGTGCTGTCCAGCCACACCACTCGCAATAGAAACCGACAGGAACTGGGTGCCCTTGGAAGCACGGGGGAAAGGGAATCCAGGGGAACGAAGTCTCGGCCCCTGCTGCGTGGTGAGGGTGGAAATAGGCAGAGTGATCCAGTCTCACCTGGTGGGGTTTGCAGGGTGTTTCCCTGCCGAGGAGCGGGGAGGCCCGAGGGCTGCATCTCGAGCGCTGCCTTTGAGGTGCTGAGACGGAGGCTTCCGCTGCTTTTCTGCTGCCTCTGGGGACGATCGCAAGCAGCCACTGGGTGTGGGGTAGTGGAAAGGCTCGTGTGGGATTTGGTGATCTGCTTGCCAGCCACACTTTCCCTGATGCTCTGGTGGCGCCTTTGACTGTGAAAACTGTGAGCTGGCCAGACATGCCAGCAGTGTGTATCAGTAGGACCTGTGGCCGGGTTGGTATAATGCCGTGGAGCCCTGGTTTTATGGCGGTAGAAAAGAGTGCCTGGGATTTAGGGGAAAGGGCTCCAGGATTGGTAGAGGTGCCCCTAGCAACGGTGCGTGGTCTCTGTCTGTTGCATCCTTCACTGTTGTGTGACCTTTTTGTGTCTCGGGGAACATAAGAACATCAGAGAAGCCCATGTTGGATCAGGCCCATGGCCCATCCAGTCCAGCACTCTGTGTCACACAGTGGCCAGAAATACCAGGGGCCCTCAGGAGGTCCAGCAGTGGGGGGCCAGGACACTAGAAGCCCACACACACACTCTTGCCCCCCCCCCAAGCAACAAGAACACAGAGCACCACTTGCCCCAGCCTGAGAGTTCCTGTCTATACCTTGTGGCTAATAGGGGCCACTGATGGACCTCTGCTCCGTACATTTATCTAATTCCCTCCTGACGCTGTCCATGCTTGTAAAAAGTATCACGACACTCAGAGCATCTGTGGAGGCAGCTGACAGCAGCGACAGTCTAAACCTGCCAGAGCCCCAGCATGTCCAATCCTTCGGCCTGTATTGAAACGTGTGTTTTGAATGTTGTCTTTGCCTCTGAGTTTCCTCTGGTTGATTTGGACAGGTGCAAGCCAGTGGTCAAGGGCTGGAGGACAGGCCCCTTCGTCTCCAAGCTATGAAAATTCCCTGCACTCCTTGGTAAGGACCGCTGGAAGGCCGGGGGTACGACTTGGCTGTTTTAGTTTTCTTTAATGAATTCTGCACAACCCTCAAGAGAACCGTAGGGGTAGCATTACAAATGGCTGCCTTCAAGTGAACAATACCAAACATGCCGGTTGGGTCTTTCCCCATCTGTTCCTTGGGCATCCGGCGTCGTTGCTACAGGCAGCTGGTGCGAGGCACATATGAGCGCACATGCCCCCCCCCCTTTGTAAGCCACCAGCTCGTTCTCACAAAGGTTCGAGTAAGAAAAGAGCTGCGGCGAAGCATTCCTTAAGCGTTCCACCGTTTTCTTCTCCTTATTCATTCAGCAATGATACTAGCAGCGCTTTTAAAACAAGTATTTGAACATTTCTTGCTGATAAGTTTCTTTCTGTGCAAAGAATTGATGCCGTTGGGAGTGGAGTGGCAGTCGGATGGAAATGGGTATAAGGAGGCTGAAGGTTAACGTCCTTGCCACTGCTGCGATTTTGTTGCTTCCTCTGTTTCTTTAGTGCCTCTGCAGGGGGGTGTAGCACCGCAATGGCACATGGTCCTTCGAGTCTGAATGCAGTTGGGAGCAACGCTCCCTCTAAGCTGTGGAGTCTTGTGAGCAAGAATTCCACGTTGTGAGCTACTGGCATGAAAGTCGTGAGCGAGTGATTTGGCTACGGCATCAATGAGTTTGCTCTGGAGCCCTCCTTCCTGAGCTGAGACAAAAGTGTGTGAGCTGGAGGCTAAAAACCTGTGAGCTAGCTCACACTAGCTCAGCTCAGAGGGAACACTGGCTGGGAGTACAACGGCTTTTTTTGGGGGGGGGGTTGATGTACTGATCAGGGTTTTACAAATCTTGTCAGCTCCCCCCAAATAACTTTTTCCCTTAAGTCAGCTAACGAGAGAATCTGCATCGTTTGATGTGTCACGTTAAGCATTTACTTTGCTTCCGTTCTCTTTCGAAGTTTCTGGTTGGTCCCACAGCCCAAAATCCTGTTTCATTGTTTATTTGGACAGTCCTGTCCCGTCAGTGGGGCCGACTCGCTCTGCGTGATCCCCCTTGAGTCCCAGGGACTGTAAATGACATAAGTGAATAAATGAAACCATAGCATTTGAGCGGAATGTGCAGCCGGGGGTTTCCAGGGCCTCCCCAGTATCTGGCATTGGTCTTCTTGTTTCTTAGGGTGACGAAATCTTTGTTGGATTAACTGAACTAACCATTGAGGCCGACACCCCCACCCCCACCCCCAGCTGCGTGCCTCACCTCTTTATAATTCCTTAACCTGTGCTTTGCTTCCTGTTCTGTCTTGACTTTGCCAGAAAAACCGAGTTGAGCAACAGCTTCACGAGCATTTGCAAGATGCTATGTCCTTCTTAAAGGATGTCTGTGAGGTACTCTTTTCTCTTTAGATGGTGCCTTTGTGATTTGCCAGTTTAACTCTACTTACACATTTCCTCCGAAGGGAGCCATCTGTGTGGTGTTAGGGCAGCATGACACAGGGACCCATCCCTTTCTTCAGCCGGTTTGTAATATCAGCACATGGGTGTTCTTTTTTCGAAATAATGTTTGCATAATTTCAAGCAAGCAATAAACCTCAACAAGGGAAAGAGGATGCCATAAGAATGACGGTCAGAGGATGTGGGAAACCCAAGTTTAAACACACACACCCCCACCACCCACCCAGTGCCTGCTCGGTCTTCGAGGGGGGCGGACATCAGTGCTCCCTCTAAGCCGTGGAGTCTTGTGAGCAAGAATTCCACTTTCTGAGCTGCTGGCATGAAAGTGGTGAGCGAGCGGTTTGGCTGCTGCATCCGTTAGTTTGCTCTGGAGCCATTCCTTCCTGAGCGGAGACAAGAATGTGTCAGCCGGAGGCTAAAAAACTGTGAGCTAGCTCACACTTAACTCAGCTCAGAGGGAACACTGGTGGAAATGCTCTGAGTGCTTGGGAGGATGGAGCAGGGTTCTCGCCGAAGATCCGGAAGCCCAAGAAGAGGGAGTCCCCGGTTGCCGGTGGCACACTCCTGCCCTTCTGCCCACGCGGACAGACACCCGAGGGTAGCTGATAAATCAGAGCACTTTAACACACACACACACACGAAAACAGCAGAATATAATAAGAGCGATAACACTGAAAGGAACACAGAAGCATAAATAGCCCAAGATACTGAAGGGAGCAGTTGAAAACAGTAAGCAGCCATAAAATTGGAATTAAATAGCCATAACAGCCAGTCTCAAACTCTGTGAAAGAGAGCCAGTCCCCAACCATTCCACAGCCGTAAAGCTGCCCCCCCCACACACACACTACTCCCCTCCAGATTTGGAACACAAACTTTTTAAACTGAAGAGCCACCATCTTTAGGGAAACTGTGCGACATTTGTTTCAGTCCTTCTCTTATCCAGAACCCCCCCCCCTTTTTAACATTTTCACTAATGTCTCTGTTTGTGTCCTAAAATGCTGAGTCGAGTGACTCTTAGGGGGTCGCCTTGGCTTCAAGGCAGGGCTGCTGCACCCTCTTCATTCCTTCCCCGGCTCTTCTGACACGGCCTTTTCCCGCCTCCCCTCGTAGCCAGCATGAGAGGGTCGTGGTGTTGGCAGAGGGGTGTGGTAAATGACCCTCCTGCTCCCCCTCCCCCTCTCCCCGCAGCAGTCCCGGATGGAGGACCGCTTGGACAGACTGGACGACGCGATCCACGTGCTGCGGAACCACGCGGTGGGGCCTTCGACGAGCCTGGCCGGGGCCCACGGAGACATACACAGTTTACTGGGACCATCCCACAACGGGCCCGTGAGCGGCTTGAGCTCCAGTTTCGGCGCGTCCAGTCTCGTCACGACCAGCCGGCTGGTAAGCAGCCATTTCCTCTTTGCCTGGGTCTGCGGGACGGGTCGACTCCTCCCCCTCCTCCTGCTGCCTCCTGGGTTTGAATCCTCTTGCTAGCAGGTCCTGAGCAGGAAGGGTGGGTGGTCGGTGGTGTTCGTCCAGAAGGAAGAGCCGGCAGCTGTGCCTGCTGGAGGTGGCCACATGAGCCTGCAGTGTGATTGTGGCTGCGAAGAAAGCGAATGCAAACCGGCAGCTGTGCCTGCTGGAGGTGGCCACGTGAGCCTGCAGTGTGATTGTGGCTGCAAAGAAAGCGAATGCAATCTTAGGATGCATTCACAGAAGCCTTGTGTCCAGATCACAGGAGGTGGTCGTTCCGCTCCGTTCTGCTATGGTCAGGCCTCACCTGGAGTCCTGTGTCCAGTTTTGGGCACCACATTTTAGGAAGGATGTTGACAAGCTCAAGCGTGTCCAGAAGAGGGCAACCAGGATGCTGAGAGGGCTGGAATCCAAGTCTTATGAGGAAAGGCTGAGGGAGTTGGGTATGTTTAGCCTGGGAAAGAGAAGGCTTAGAGGGGACATATTTGAAGGGCTGTCATGTAGAAGGTGGAGCAGATCTCTTCTCTCTTGCTCCGGATTGCAAGACTAGATCTAATGGGGGGAAATCACAAGGGAGTCGCTACCGGCTAAATATCAGGAGAAACCTCCTAACTGTCAGAGTGGTTGAGCAGTGGAACGGACTGCCTCGGGAGGGGGTGGAGGCTCCTTCGCTGGACGTTTTCAAGCGGAGGCTGGACGACCATCTCTCGGGTATGTTGTAGGGCTCTCTTTCGGCTACACACCTGCAGAGTGCAGGGGGTTGGACTAGAGGACCTGCGAGGTCCCTTCCATTCTGTGATTCTATGGAATGCCCCGTACGAAGACGGGTGTGTGCAGATTGCAGGGGGACTTGGGGAAGGGCCGTGGTGCCCTGAGTGGAGCATCTCCAGTTTAAAAAAAATGATATGGAAACAGCCCCACCTGAAACAGCTTCTCCCAGTCCCAGGAGGCCAGGCTGATCTGGAGCAGCCCAGTGCCTGACTCTGTGTGTGTCTCGTGAACTTGCACGGGTGCAGGAGGGGACTAGAGCCCAGCGGGTCCTTGGGAGGGATGCTGACCCGGGGAGGGGGGGGGCGCTGTGCCTCAGTGGCGGAGCACCTGTCCTGACATTCCCGGTGGAAAGAAGCCCTGGTGGCAGTGGGACCTCTTTGGGCTGTCTCAGACCCTCGAAAGCTGCTGCCAGGAAGAGCAAGGCCAGTGATGCCAGGGGTGCGGAGAGCCCCTGGGGACCTGGGTGGGCACAGGCACTGCCCCAGAGCCTGGGTCAGACTCGGTGTGCTGCTGCTGCTGCTGTCCTGTCCCTCAGGGGCCGCTGGCTCGGCTCCTCCTTGGCCAAGTGCGGAGTTCTGCGTTTCTAGCCCCCGTGTGCTGAGCGAGACGGGCCGTCCTCCCCTCACGAGCAAGTCCCTCGGCCGGTGGGCATTCATTAAGATTCAGCAGCACCTTCTGAACATACATCAGCAGTGCAGTGAATGTTAGCTGCTTTACTGACTTTTGCAAAAATTAGATTTCCTTGGAAATGTCCTTGACAGGAGAAGCAAGGAAATGAGTGATTCAGCTCCTTCATTACGAGTTGCATCACCAGGCACAATTTTATTGTTACACTTGCTTAATTTCTGAGCCAGCTTTTCAAATCCATTTCCTGCTTCTCTGTTAATTGTGGCTGCTTCAGCGGCTCTTTATTCCACCCAGAACGTCAAGTCCTGCCCCATCTCGCCTTCCGCTGAGCGTGTGGAGGAGGGATCCCTTCCGTGTCAGGACGGGCCTGGCAGGGGCTGCCGAGCCTGACGACACAGCCCTGCCTGAACTCTCTGGCCAGGGCAGGAGCCCCCCGGTGCCATTGCCAAGGAGTGGGCACTCGCCCCAGATGTGGGCATAGGCTTCCTTGGCAGAGCGGGGGCTTAGGAGCTGCTTTCCCCAATTCTGAAGGGGCACACAGCACGCTTGAAAGCAGTCAGAGAAACCAGTGGTAATACCTAAAATGAAAATGTTCATTTAATAAGCAGTGTGTGTTAAGCAGGGTAGTAAGAACCACAGCGTGACCGAGTGGGCAGAAGACTTGGATGCAGAAAGGCAGCGGCGGTGGACAAGGAAGTTTTTACACGTACCCAACACCCTTCCTTCTGAGTGGACGGGTTCAAATTAACTTCATGAGCAAGGGTTAGGGTTAGGAGCAACCACTGAGAAGACCCTGCACAAGGTCCTAAAGCAGGGCCTCTCCACCTGACCTCCGGTCAGGGAGGGGTCCTGGTGTGAACTTTCTGCCTCGGCCTCTTGGGGAGCCTGGGGCGATGACCAAGCACACCTCCTGCCCAGCGGTCCTGTGATGAGCTGATACTACTCTGGTGTGTCTTTGCGTCACTTTCCCCTGGAAGCTTCCTGGCCCTTGCCTCCCTGGGTTTGCCACAGAGCGTCCCTGGACAGTGTCTCTTGGAGGATGCCTCCCCAAAGGCCAGCCGGCAGGGCTGCTGATGTCGGGCGCAGAGAAGCCCAAGCCCCTGGCCGAGGGAGGGCCTCCCCAAGGAGGCGTGGCACTGTGCCTTCTGGCGGGGGCTCCTGTGTGGTGCTGCGTTGCGCTCTGACAAGCCTCGAGAGTTCCATGATGGGAGTGGTGCCGTTTTATGGGTTTGTAATTCATGGTTAAGGATTAAGTGTGTGGTAGGTAGCGAACATGAAATTGAGCAAACCTCAGAGGGCTGCGGAAAACAGGAGGGCCTGGCGAGATCTTGTCCATGGGGTTGCAAAGAGTCGGACTCGACTGTGCGACTGAACAACAACAACAACAGGCAGCGTCAAGCGATGGAAGAGGTGGAATAAAATTATTCTCACTAAAGTAATTATGACCAGATAGGGAGCCACCCAGAAGGTCTTCGGCAACATTGTGAAACGTGAGAGCTGTTTAGATGATTGGGAGGCAGTTCCAGAGGAACCAGGAGATACTGGCGGGGGGTGGGGATGAGGTGCTGGGAGGCCCCCACAAGACTTGAGACAGGCGGGGAGGGGCTTTGAGCTGCAGCCGGTCCAGCCTCCCCTCCAGGAGGGTTTGAGTGGTCCAGCGTGAACAAGATCCTCCGTGGAGGCTTAGAGAACGAGCAGTTGGATTCGATTCGAGAGAGTGCTTGCTGAGCTTCGGAAATTACCTGTCGGCCTGTTGTGGTTAGATTAGGCCCTAATGTGAACGTTTCCGCAGGTCTGACAGCTGCCTGGTGTGAACCCCTTGCTCCAAGGACAGTGTCACAGGGACATTCTGAAGCCGTTTAGACATCTGGGATGAAAGCCCCCTTGTGTTCGAGCCCCCCTGGAACTAGAATATTGAAACACTAAACCTCTGAGGCAGAACCAACCAAGCTTTATTTTTTTAACTCTCCCCTCCTCTCCCCTCCCGTGGATGGAGCTTCCTGCAGCCTTTGTGGAGAAGGCGGTTTGTGTTCCCAGCCCCCGAGCCTGGGCTGCCAGTGATACCGAAGCCAAACTTCTTGCTGCCCAGGCTCCAGATCCTTCTCCTGTGGCTTTTTTTTTAAAAAAAAACACCATACCCTGGCCAGTGTTAAAGAAAATCGGAGTATCACCCAGGAAACATTAACTAGGCCCTGTGCGACTATTCCTGGGGTGGGGTGGGGAGTGAATCGGAGCTTATGGGGAACGGTGTAGAATGATTAAGGCGATGAACCTGCATCAGGGTGTGGTGCCTCGGTTCTAGTGGGAGCAAAATACTTGAGCGTGTGACGGGGAAGAGCTGCATTAATTACTCAAGAGGGGAGTCCAGGCTCAGCAATTTCCTAGGATTGGAAGAGTTATTGAAAAACTGAGTTTCTCCTGGCAAGCCGGATCTCACCAGATCATGGAACCTGAGCAGGGCCAACCGTGGCAAATATTTGGATGGGAGACCTCCAAGGAATACCAAAGCCGGGAGGCAGAGGCAGGCTGTGAAGCCACGTGTGTCTGAACGTCATCCACACTCCAGTAGGAGTTGCCAGAGGTCGCCATGACTTCCAGGCATGGGCACACACACACACACACTGCAAAAATACGAAAAGAGAAAGAAAAACGTTTCTTACGGGCTTAATCGGCTGCTCTTCACTGGTAGGCATTCGCATAAAAAGCTACCTCACTGGACCCTGGCAGGTGGCCTACGACACTTCCCCTCCTCGCCAGCTTGGTGTGTCTGCATGGTTCTGCTGTAGAGTTCTTTGAGTGGCCTTTGTTTCCTGGTGTGGAAGGGTTTGGCATGGGCCCAGGGCAGGGTGTTCTTTGCTTCCTTGTGGGAACAAGGCCCACTTGGAAGTGGTTTGCTCAGGGGGGCCGTTTCTTGCTGTGCCACCGGACCAGGCTCCTGCTTGCAGCCCGCCTGGTGCCACACTGGCGTCATGTCGAGGAGGGTGAGGCTCTGTGCTGCAAGAACGGGGGGAGGGGGGGCAGGTTCTTCCGGACTCTGGCAGGTTCGCACGGTTGGCCCTGGGATGCGTGGACAGTGTCATTTCCCAAGAGGCTGGTCTGGCTTTGCAGTTCTCAGCGTGTGACGTTAGTTGCCATGTGCACCAGAACGCTTTTCGCTTGGGGCACAATCCACTGGGGAGTTTTCCTGTGTGAGCCTCCTGTGGCCATTACTGTGGAGGAGTTGGGCTTTTCTGTCCCAGAGTCAGCTGCCCTGCTTGGCTGAGCCTGTGTGTGCCTCTGTGTGTTCCAGGGCGCCTCTCACCGGGAAGACAGCGTCAGCCTTGGAAGCAGCCACTCTGTCCTGCCCAGCACGGTTCCTGCTCAGAGTGCAGAACTCAACCATAAAGCACCAGAAAGCTACAGAGGTAAGCCCTGCCCCGCCCCCGGCCGGATGGGGGTGCCTCATCTGCGTGCGCATCCGCTGCCCTCTTCCCTGGCTTGACGGTGCCTCTTCAGGACAGACATGGTGGTATTTGTGAGCCGACTGCCTCCCGAAGGGAAGCGGTAGTATGCACTTCCCGTGAGCCTAGATGCTCCTGGATCACCCCGTCCCCCTTGCCCTGAGCACTCCTGGCTCGCCTTTGCATGTTGTTCTGAAAGGTCCTGGCCATGGGTGGGCATTCCTGGTGAAGGGGGAGTCGTCTTCAGCCACCTGCCCTGTGAGTCACGCTGGCACATTTCGCCTGGAGCATCTTCTGCTGCTCTTTGCGCAGAGGATAGTTGGGGGTTAGGGCAACCGGTTCCCTGTCTCTCTCATCTCCAGGGGATGCGTTTCCACCGGAGGATGCATTTCGTAGTCCTTTTGCAGACGTTGCCGACGTAGGCTTGTGTTCCAGTGTAGCGACTTTCTTTGCAGTGGCAGAATCAGTTAGTTAACAGGTCTCACTTCGAAAATTCTCTGATCGTTTCTAACCAGCTGGCTGTTAAATAAGCACCAGGGTCATTCAAGTCGAGAAGAAAAACCTTTTTTATTTGTCGCCCAAACATGCGAAACGGTCTTATACCAAGTGGCACGAATAGCCCGCTCAGGTCTCCTGTGAGCGGCCGCAGCTCTCCATGATCTCCGGCTGAGAAAGACCATTCCCATCACCTGCCCAGGTGACCCTGTAAGAGGAGATGCTGCTGGGGGGGGGTGTTGAAAGCAGATGCTCCCCCCTCCTACAGCTGAGCCAAAAACCCCTCCCTAAGCCCTGCTTGACATTTTTGATCTCAGCCCCTTCCCCCAATGCGGGCATGCTTTGTGACTGTAACTCAGTCCTGTAGCCAGATCAGTCTGTATGACACACACCTCTGCCCAAGCGGACCCTCAGAATACCCCACGTGGCTGCATCCGGGGGAGTCTGAAACTCTGACCCTGTTCATGGAACAGAGGTGGGAAGAGAATTCCCATGGGAAGGCTCTGGAAAGCCCCGCCTCCACTCTTAACGTGCCGGTCCCCTTTTCTGTATCTTATCAGCGGCTGGATGTGAGTTTCCTGGCCGTCCTCCTCTTAGCAGGGCGAGTGTGAGACAAAGGGGGGGGGGGGCTGGTGGTCTTGTGATGGGCAGTGACGGCCTGTTGGCTTTGCACGCAGCACTGTCGGCGGGGCTGCTGGGCCAGTCCGTCGCGTTGGGTCCAGCCGAGATCAAGTCGGAGCACAAGGAGAAGGATGAAAACGCACACGACCCTGCCTCCTCCGATGACATGAAGTCCGACGACGAGTCCTCCCAGAAAGACATCAAGCTCTCCTCCAGAGGCCGGACGAGGTAGAGCGGCTGCCCTCCCCGTGCCCCGCTGGTCTGGGCCACTGGTCTGCCTGCCACGAGGACGCCTTTGGATGGAGCGGCTGGGTCCTGGGGGAGGCTCATTAAGGAGAGCACGTGTGGGTTTAAAACCCGTGGCCCTCTGCACAGTCCACTGTGGAAGGAATGTGGCGTTTCCCTAAATAGTTCACGCAGGCTCCCAGCCCCCCAGCCTGTGGATAGCTGAGCTCCCCGCTGGCCAGCCGAGAAGGCGCTTGCCAGTCAGCAGTGGGAAGAACAAAGTGGCAGAATCGGCTCTCTCTTTCCTGCCTGCCAAGGTGGCCTTTCGCCTTCATTCTGGGGGGTTTCATTCACTCACACAAGATGGGCTTGTGCAGAACAGGCCAGGACAAATATTGTGTGAGAGTTTGGTGCGAGAGCCAGTTTGGTGTCGTGGTTAAGAGCGTGGACTCTAATCTGGGAGAACCGGGTTTGATTCCCCACTCTTCCTCCACTTGCAGCTGCTGGATGACCTCGGGCAAGCCACAGTTCTGATAAGAGCTGTTCTTGAAAAAGAGCCATTTCTCTCAGAGCTCTCTCAGCCCCGCCTACCTCACAGGGTGTCTGTCTGTTGTGGGGAGGGGGAGGGAAAGGAGTCTGTCAGCCCCTCTGAGACTCCTCTGAGAAATGAAGTGCGGGGGGGGGGTAGTATAAATCCAATCTCTTCTCTTCTTCTTTGGCTCCAGGAGCGAGCCCAGAAATTTAGCAGCCACACATACTTTTCAGCCTTCCAGGGTTTCATGTTTTAGTGACCGAATGTTCAAGTCCTTGGTACCCCGGACCCCAGACCCTAACCTCTTCCCAGGGTCTCATAATTTTTTTTTAAAGCGGTGATCAAAGTGTTGTACTCAGGGCTCCCTCTCAGCTGCGGAGTCTTCTTGTGAGCAAAAATTCCACTTTGTGAGCTCCTGGCATTAAAGTTGTGAGCCAGCGATTGGGCTACTATTGCATAACTTAGGTTGCTCTGGAGCCATCCGTTCCTGAGTTGAGACGAAAATGTGTGAGCCAGAGGCTGAAAAACTGTGAGCTAGCTCACACTCACTCAGCTGAGAGGGAACACTGGTTGTAGTCTATAAATTGTTGGGTAATCTTGATTTGTGATCCGTCACAACGAAAAGCTGACCTCTAACCCTAGCCTGACTTCTCCCTAATTTCTCATCATCCCATTGCTGCTTCAAAAAGCTCCATTTGATTGAAAACCAGAGCCCCAGTCTAGAAGGCTATCGGTGAAGAAATGCACTGGCCTACCACCACTGAATGGCAGCAGAAGTAACGTTTCCACTCGTTTGAAATGCAAGGGAAGGGACTCCTGATGGCCGCCACTGAAGGGCGGTCACTGAGCTCATGGACACGCACTCAGCAGCGCCAAGAACTCCAGACACACTTGTTTTTGTGTCATGCAATGTAATATTTTGATGTGAAATTATAAATGAGCTTCGGATTGGATCCAGCCACTGGTGTCCTTCCTTCTTTCCTTCTTTCCTTCCTTCCTTTTCTTGGTTTTGGCCAGGCGTCCGTCCTTATTATAGCCGTTGTGTGTGGCTCTTGTTGATGCAGGTCCAGGGATCCCAAGCACAGCCGTTTTGTTGGTCGGGGGGGGGGGGGCCCTTTCTCCCCCAGTGGAAAAGCTGGTTGGACCCCACCCTTTGAACTTCCACTGTGAATTGTTGAAAGAGGCTGCAGTGAAAGCGGTGCTGGAAATATGCGGGCCCCCACAATGAGGTTGCAAAGGGCTGTGGTGACCTGTGGGCATCCGGGGTTTGTGGAGCCCTGGTGTGGGGGGGGGGGGGGCAGGGGCTTACCGTCTCTCGTAGGGTTTCTAAAGCAGACTTCCCAGGTAGTGCTGACTGGCTTGGCCGGGATCCAGGGGTCATGCTGTTGATGCCAGACACGAGGCCGCCAGCAGTCGCCCCCGGAGAAGCCCCTTGGCCCGGAGGAACTGGCTTCGAGTCCCGTCCTGTGGGCCTCCAGGAGTCCTCCGTCCCTTGCCTTTCAGACGAGGGGAATGCAGTCTGGGGCGGGGGGTGGAGGGCGGGCGAGTGCCGTGCTTGCCCGGAGGAGGCCTCTCCCAGGGCTCAGGGTCCTCTCTGTGCCTCTGCAGCAGCACCAACGAGGACGAGGATCTGAACCCAGAGCAGAAGCTGGAGCGGGAACGGGAGCGGAGGATGGCCAACAACGCCCGGGAGCGCCTGCGGGTCCGGGACATCAACGAGGCGTTCAAGGAGCTGGGCCGGATGTGCCAGCTCCACCTGAAGAGTGAGAAGCCCCAGACCAAGCTGCTGATCCTCCACCAGGCCGTGGCCGTCATCCTCAGCCTGGAGCAGCAAGTCAGAGGTGGGCAGGGCGGGGGGGGGCTCTGTCAGCCTCCTCAGCAGAGGCGGGGCTCCTCGTGTCCCGTCTGCCCCTCGGCGGGTGGGGCTCGCGTGAAGACAGGATAGACCGGGGGGAAAAAAGGGCCAAGGAGGGCTGGCGGGGGCAGAACGCCTAGGGGCTGACTGGCCAGGCCCACTGGGGGTGGAGGTGGCTGGGCCCAGGAGGGGGAGGCTCCCGGGGGGTGGTGGTCTGGAGGGGGCTTCTTATTCAGGTGCCCCTGCCGGTTGCCAGCTCCTGCATAAAGTGTATTGATATGGAATGGGGTGTGTGTGTGTGTGTATGCGCGCAGGAAAGGGCTCAGTGTTTGTGCCAGTTCTTGTGGACTTATTTTATGGCCGAAGGGAGGAAGTGCTCTTGACTCTTGAAGGGGGAGGGGAGAGGCTGCGGTGGTCCCCGGGAGGGCTGATGAAGCCGAGCCCCCCCCCCTTTGTCTTCCGTGTCACGAATGTCCGCGCTGAGCGCTCTCTGCCCCCGGAGCCCCAGGGGCTCTGGATCACCACCCTTGGCTATAATTTCTTATTTAAATTACGTTCTGTCAAGTCCATTTATCATAATCCTTGTGGGGCTTGCCAGACTTCGGAGGGGCACCAGCTGCTGCCAAGAGCCAAGCTGACCCTTCTCCGTGGCTCCGTCTCCTCCCGCCCGTGTCATCATCCTTGAGACGCCCTCTCTAGGGGTCGGCTTGCAAATCAGGCAGCCGCTCCTTCCTGGCTGCTGCCTCTGCCGGAGTGGAGCTGTGGCCGCCCTCCCTCCGGTGTCCCAGAGAGTGTGGGAGAGACCTCGGAGCCCCCACACCCAGTGTTCCCTCTAAGCTGAGTTAGTGTGAGCTAGCTCACAGTTTTTTAGCCTCCAGCTCACAAATTTTTGTCCTAGCTCAGGAAGAATGGCTCCAGAGCAAACTAATTTATGCAGTAGCCAAATTGCTCACTCACAAATTTAATGCCAGTAGCTCACAAAGTAGAATTTTTGCTCACAAGACTTCACAGCTTAGAGGGAACATTGCCCACACCCCTCCCATCAAATGGGCCACACACACACACACACACACACACACACACACTCACGTGAGCCCGTGCTCTCGCTCTCTTTCCCCCCTCCCTGCTTAAATCCCTCCCCGTGAGCCAGCCGGGCACAGCTGTGCTTTGTGTTGCGCTTTCTCATCAGATGTATTTCCAGCACGCACGGGGGTGTGTGTGTGTGTGTGGTGTTTTGAAGCACTGAATGACATCCTGCCTGCTCTGGCGCTTCTGCCAGCCACGGTGTGTGCATGCGCGCGCGCAGTTTCTCTTCTCCGCTCCCACCTGGGCGTGGGAAAGGGCCAGACTAACACGCTGGGGGGCGGGGGGGGGGGGGGGGGGGGGGGGGGGGGGGGAGGGAAGCATCCCGGTGGCAGTGGCAGGCCTGCATGCAGCCACACCGGTGGCCTTGCCGAAAGGGCTCCCCCAGGCCCTGCCCGGCCTCCTGTCGCCGGTTCCCTGGGAGGGGTCCTGCTGGTCCGGGTGTGGGAGGGGGGCCAGCCTGCTCGGCGTGCAAGTCTGGGCGGAGGGGACCTGCAGGGGTCAGCGAGGAGGTGGGCATGAAGGCCCTGCTGGCCTGGGAGGGAGGCAGTTTCCCTACAGACATGGGCTCCCGTGCCGGGAGGGGACGGAGGAGGCCTTCCGTCCGCATGCTGACTCCAGCCTGGATCTGAGGAAGGGGGCAAGTGCCGGGGGTGGTGGTGGCAGCGGCTCATGGCCCGGCTCTCTGGGGCGGGTGTTGCTTCACTGGCCGAGCTGAAAGGCCCTCTGCCTGGAAGCTGCACCCAGGGCACTGCTGCAAGGGCCGGAGGCTGGCTTGATTTAGCTCTGCCTGTTGGTGGGCGGCTGGCTGGACTCAGCCCCCCAGACGTCCTGGGACGGTTGCAGCACAGCCGGCTGAGGGGGACCCCAGCAAAGACGGAGGTCCTGCACCTGAGTCGTGGGGGATCGGGGATCGGGCTTCCGGTTCTTGGTGGGGCGCCGAGGGTGAGGAGTCTCAGGGTGACGCTGGATGCCTCGCTCCCTATGGAGGCCCGGCTCACTTCGGTCGCCAGATGGTCCTTTTATCATCTTCGGCTAATCAGGCAACCGGTTCCCTGTCTCTCTCTCTCTCTCTCTCTCTCACACACACACACCCACAGGGGACTTAGCTACGGTGATCCATGCCGTGGTCACTTCCAGGCTGGATTACTGTGGCTCGCTCCAGGTGGGGCTACCCTTGAGCCTGATCTGGAAAGTGCAGGCAGTGCCGATTGTGGCAGCACGCATGCCGCGCTGACTGCCCTGGCTGCCGACGGAGTACCGGATTTGGTTCCAGGTCATGTTTTTGACCTTTGAAGGCCTGGGATCATCAGACCTGTGGGACTGCCCCCCCCAATACGCTCGTCTGACCAGCCCCTCCTGGGGGTCCCCAGCCCGAGGGACGCCCGCTTAAGCTTTGTCAGGCCTAGGGCCACACATGCCCCCACGTGAGCCCAGGGGCCCTGCAGGACACACTGCAGTTGCGCAGGGCCTGTAAAACAGAGCTCTCCCGCCAGGCCTTTGGCTGAGGTGATGGACGTCCACCCGTTCTGCTCTCCCCTGTCCACGGTCCCCCTCCCAGGGCCCTTGCCCGTTTTGGGTATTATTTGGGCACTGGCGTTCCTTGCCTGACACGAGGCACGGGTTTTTGTTCTTCTTCGTTCCTGCCTTTTATTGTCCTCTTGCCTGATGGTTTTATGTTGTAAGCCGCCCTGAGCCCACTTGTGGGGTAGGGCAGGGTATAAATAAATAAGCAAGCAAGCAAGCATGCTGGGCCTGACTGGCCAGATCTCTGTGGTTTGCTTCCTCCCATTCTAACGGCCTCTCTTCTCCTCCTCCTGCTGCCCCCAGAGAGGAACCTCAACCCCAAAGCAGCCTGCCTTAAAAGAAGGGAAGAGGAGAAGGTGTCTGCCGTATCGGCAGAGCCGCCACCCACGCATCCAGGAAGCCATCCTGGGCTTAGTGAAACTACCAACCCTATGGGTCATCTCTGAACACCGGCCAGGTAAGGTCCACGCTTGCGCTTGCGGCTAGAGACTCCGGACGATGGCACTTCCCTGGGGGTGGGGCCGGCAAGGGGGGGACCCGCTGTGACGGGGTGCTTTCCCTCTCTCGGGGCTGCCACCCAGCCTTCCACTGGCCAGGCATGCCACGCTGCAGGTGGGTGAGGCTTGGGGCTCACGGGTAGAAAGCAGTGTCTCTTGGGAGCTGGCCCAGAGCAAACGTTGACTTCCGCAGCAGCTGACTTCGTGGAGCTGCCTCGGTGGAGGGGCTGCAGGCAGAATGCGGACGTGAATCTGTCCTGCTTCCAAGGGGAGGGGAAAGCGGGCAAGGTAGGGGGAGCCAAGCACAAGGCACAGACCCCTGGATTCTCTGTGTGGCCAGCCCCGCCTTCCTTTCTTCCGATTCCAGCTCTGGGAATCAGCCTGTCTCTGCTGGGGGCAGCTGTGCCTTATGAGTCTGCCCCCCTCCTGCTGGCCGTCCACAGGGTCGGGGATTTAGAGCTTGGCTCGGCCTGCCTCCACGGAGAATGGCAGCCCCCGTCAATCCCGTGTAGTTTGGTGTCGTGGTGAAGTGTGCGGACTCTGATCTGGGAGAACCGGGCTTGATTCCCCACCCCTCCTCCACTTGCACCTGGCTGGATGACCTTGGGCAAGCCACAGTTCTGACAAGAGCTGTTCTTGAAAAAGAGCCGTTTCTGACAAGAGCTCTCTCAGCCCCCCACCTACCTCACAGGGTGTCTGTCTGTTCTGGGGAGGGGAAGGGAAAGGAGTTTGTCAGCCGCTCTGATACACCTTTAGGTAGTGAAGGGCCATGGGGTATAAACTCAATCTCTTTCCCCCCCCCCCTTCAGGTGTGGTGGGTTTGTGCTGGGCTGGGATGTGGGGCCCCAAGTCCCCAGGGTGCTCCAGGAGTAGACCCACCTGCCACCAGTGTTCCCTCTCAGCTGAGTGAGTGTGAGCTGGCTCACAGGTTTTTAACCTCCTGCTCACACATTTTTGTCTTAGCTTAGGAAGGAGGGCTCCCGAGCAAACTAATTTAGACAGTAGCCAGACCGCTGGCTCACAACTTTAACGCCAGTAGCTCACAAAGTAGGATTTTTGCTCACAGGACTCCACAGCTTAGAGGGAGCATTGGCAGTGTTCCCTCTAAGCTGAGTTTGTGTGAGCTAGCTCACATTTTTTTAGCCTCCAGCTCACCCATTTTTGCCTCGGCTCAGGAAGGAGGGCTCCAGAGCAAACTGATTCATGCAGCAGCCGAATGGCTGGCTCACAACTTTAAGGCCAGCAGCTCACAGAGGAGACTTTTTGCTCGCCGGACTCCACAGCTGTCTTTATGGAGAGGGAAAGGGCAGCCCTTGGGGAGCGGTGCCTGCGGGCGTGGCGTTGCTGACAACTTTTGTTTTTACCACAGAATTCTGGAACTGCGGGGAGGAAGCCTGAAAGGTGACCTTTCCTTCCTAAGGACACAGACTAAAAACCGCACTACACGGGAGACACACCTGACCGGAGAAGCAAGCCCTCCCCTGGCCGGCGGCACCTGCGTCCGAGGGGGCGGCGCCAGCCTCTCCTCCCCCTCCCCTCCGCTCCTCCTCTCCACAGGCTGTGGGAGTTGCCTTGTGCCTAAATCGAATTGACACACGCATTGTAACGATGATGAGATTTTATTTATTCGTAGTGGAACTGTAAAGGTCTGCGTATGAAGGGGAAAGTTAAGCCTGTTGAAAGCTGAGAGCGTATTTCACTTTGATGCCGGCGTTCAGGAAAGCTGTTTTGTGTCCAGAGAACAGAGCCGCGAAAAGCCACCGCGCACCTGCCCCGTAGCATTTCGAGCCGACCGACCAGTGTCTTAAGGGGGGGGGGGGCAGAGGGTCCTTTGGCCACCGGGCCTGGTGTGTGCCGCCTCCTCCCGAGGTCCCAGTACCTTTGTGCAGGGGCCGTTTCAGGCGGCAGCATTTGGGGGGCTGGAAGGGGGGTGTTTCGTCCCTTGAGATGTGCGTTCGTGTCTAATGAATACCCTTTTAAGGCTCCTAGAAAGGCTTGTCATGCGAGGAGCACTGGCTCACCCAGAACCATCGTTTTAACGTCTTCTGAGCAGCGAGTACATATCCAGTGTTAGCTGTGTGCTAAGCACAAAAGGTGCGGGGATGCATGGAGGACTCTCCTCGTTTCCCTGTCGCAACCTCCAGTGAACAGCCTGATCCAAAGATCGCCGCAACGGGTAGCAGGCTGAACTGACTGCACACCACTGGGACGCAAGAGTGTCTGTCGCCAGCCTGTTCTCCGTGGCGTCTCTCATCCGGGTTGCCAGAGTGGAGAGGGAGGCTCTAGGGTGGGATGGCTGGCCAGCGTCCACCGGGCGTGTGCCCTTTCGGCGTCCCTAGGAACTGTCTTCCGCTGTCACATCCCCGGGGGAGGGGGAGCCAGCCAAGGCCAGGCCGCGCCGGGCGGGTCTCTCTTCCCGGTGGCCCCCTGCTTGCGTGCGCAAGAGGCTCTGATCATGTGAAAGAACAAACAGACGCACGCGTGGGGCTCCACACGGCCTCTGACTTTGCGATCCTGTCTCAGGTGGCTCCAAACACATCACTGGGTTGTGCCATGACCAGCTGGACTTTGGTTCGCACCGGTCCTCCCCAGTCCCGCCCGACAAGACGATTCTCCGTGGCCTTGTTCTTCGTTTTTCAGTGTTCCCTTGGCTCAGTGAACTGACGCTCACGATGGCAAGTGAAAGTAGCCCCAGGCCCCTGCCTGGCCTTCTTCCTTCCGAGCTTGTTGTCTCTTGGCTATATTAGGCTTTTCCAGTATGCTCAGAAGCTTTCCTTCATAAAATGGAATGAGAGAGAGAGAGAATAAATCATTTGGTTTATTTTTCACTGTAGCTAGTCTTTTATACAATAATCTTGTAAGAAAGTTTCTTGAATTCTAAATATTACTCTTTCTAGATTTTTGAAATTGAAAAAAGGTTTTCAGTAAAAAATTTCTTACTTTATTTTACTATATTAGGTAGTAAAAATGTAGGGTTCTATACCATAACCTGTTCATTAATACCAGGAATTTACAATCGCCTTGTAAGAGCAGAGTAGGATGCTAGCATACCGTCGTAGTACCTATGGAGTGTTGTAAGAGCTACTTGTCCGAGATGAATGGCTTCCTCATCTTGTCCTCCAGTTCCCATTGTGGCTTTATTGCCGATTTGTACCCTGTGTCAAATTTCAAGATATTACTGAGAAACCTTTTTCCAGCCAGCAGCGAGAAGTTCACCAATCTTTTTCTGTCGGTGTAACAGGAAACACAATGTATATAACATTTATGTAGCAATAAATGTGCCATCTTTTTTTAAACTTTGTCCGTCGGTCAGTTTCTAATGTTTCCTTTGTCGTCCTTTACATGTATCTGCCAGGTGCAAAGAGCAAAGTTTGAAGGAGCTCAGGGCGCCTCTCGGGCATATGCCGCGCCAGGCCTTGTCCTCTGGTGGGAGAGCCAGTCTGGTGTCGTGGGGACCCAATAGATGTTGTTTACCTTGACTTCCAGAAAGCTTTTGATAAAGTTCCTCATCAAAGGCTCCTAATAAGCTCAATAGTCACGGGATAAAAGGACAAGCCCTTTTGTGGATCAAAAACTGGCTGATTTATAGGAAACAGAGAGTGAGTATAAATGGGCAATTTTCTCAGTGGAGAGTGGTAAGCAGTGGGGTACTGCAGGCATCAGTACTTGGTCCACTGCTTTTTAACTTGTTCATTAATGATTTGGAGTTGGGAGTAAGCAGTGAAGTGGCTAAATTTGATGACACGAAGTTGTTCAGGGTGGTGAGAACCAGGGAGGATTGTGAGGCACTCCAAAGGGATCTGTCGAGGATGGGCGAGTGGGCGTCAACGTGGCAAATGGGGTTCAATGTGGCTGATATTGATCCTAACTACACCAAACCAGCTCTGCTGGGAAAATCCCTCAAGAAGCAAGAAATCTTAGTTTTAGGTGGGTCGCCATGTTGGTCTGAAGCAACAGAATGCAGTTTGAGTCCAGTGGGGCACTTTTAAGCTCAACGAAGTTTAATTCTGGGGATAAGACTTTGTTGGTCTTAAAGGTGCCCCACTGGACTCAATCTTTGTTCCAAGGAATCTTAGGTGATGGTGGTTGTTCAGTTGGCCTCTTTTTGATTCCACCTCTGCCCTCTAACTGGAGAGGCTGGGAGGTGGGGCGCGGTGGACAGGCAGAGATTGTATCTCCCCACGGAGAAGCCCTGGCTGGGTGGAGCTTTGCCGTTCTCCTCCGTGCCAGCGATGCGCCCACCTGCTCTGGGGCTTCTCTTCAGGGTGGCGTGAGCGTCTCCAGTGAACCTGCCGGGCAGGTCTCTGTGTGTGGCACTTTTCAGTTGCCTCCCTGCCTCCGGGTCAGATCAGGGGCCCTCGGTGGGCGGGTGGTGCCCTTCCTGCGACGGGGGCTTCCAATCAGTATCTTCCTGAGCAAGCTGGCAACAAGGAAGCTGCCCATATAGTTTGGACGTGCAGAAAAGTCCGAAAATGGCATTCAGACCCTTTCCAAATCACATTTGTTTCTTGTTATTCTCCGGTCCTCTCTACCGATTTCCTTTCGGGACAGGGCAACCGTAGCCAATGAGGCGAGGGTGCAGCCTCCCTGAGGAACTAGATCTTCGCATGCAGAGACGTGAGTGAACATTCTGGGGTGGGGAAAGGCCTTCCACAGGCTTGCCTAGAAGTCCCTGGTGGAGGAAACCCCCGGGATCCACACCTGTTTGCTGCCCCCTCTGCTGTATGGGATGGTGTCCAACTTCCACCGCCTGAGGCAGCAGCGTCCACCTCACCTTAATTAGAGTGGGCTGTCTCTTTAAGGCGAGCTTCGCCTGGGAACTAGGCCAAGCTGCAAGGCCCCGTTAGATGCCAACGTGCAGCCGATGCCCTGGCATCAGGGCGGGATGGGCAGTGCAACATGGGATATCGACTCTTGCAGTATCAACTAGGAAAGCCCGTGTGTGTGTGTGTGTCTGTTACAGGGGGAGGGGGTATTCCTGTGCACTCAGACATGCATCCAGAGGGTTCCGAGGGAGGCCTCTCCTCTAGCACTTCTTGAGCCTGTTGTTGGTCTCTTTGTGGTGCTCCGTAGCAAAATGCATCCTCCCCTTTCCCTGGGGTGTGGAGTGCCTGTCTCTCAAAGCACCTCTTCCCCTTTGGTAATCTCGGCTTGCTGAAGCTGCGGCCCAAAAGTCGCTGGTGCATCCTGACGGAGGCAGCGATGAAATCTCCATCAAGGGCTGAAGGAAGCAATAATCCACGCTTGCCCTAATTCTTCTCGGCAAGCATCTTGGTCTGACGAGAGCAGGCATTAAACTTTTCCTGGTTTTCCCTGCCTAAAATATCTCTCCCAATTAGAACTTGTGGCTTCCTTCCTTCCCATTCTGTGGGGGGAAATGCCTCCACGGTCATCTACTCATAATTACGTGCCCTTTGAATCGCCTGGTGCAAATTTCCGGCTGTCTTTTCAGACCACCATCCAAATGCGCTTGCGCTGCAACCCACCGGCAGCATTCCTTCTGGGACACAGACAGGAAAGGAGGAGGGATTTTTCGGCTTCAGTCCTTGGAATCCAAAAAGCAGTTGTTTTGTTTGGGTATGAATGAGTATTTTAAAATAATTCCAAGCACCTATACAGGGCCTTTCTTTTGCTGTTCCCTGCTTCCCCAGACAGTGAGATGCTTCAGAGATGGTTTGGGCCCCTTCAGCTGAGAGATCGTTTTACTGACAACTACAGTGCAGGGGGACACAGAGGCCGCAGTGGCTCAGCGGGTAAGACACTGAGTTGCAGACCGGGAGGTCGGTAGCTCGGCAGTTCGAGACCCGAGTGTGCCACAGGACGGAGTGAGCTCCCGTCTCTGGCCCCAGCTCCTGCCAGCCTAGCAATTCGAAAGCAAGAAATTGCAAGTAGATAAATAGGTACTGCTTCGGTGGGAAGGTAACAGCGTTCCGTGCGCCTCGGCGTTTAGTCATGCCAGCCATGTGACCACAGAAAAGTCTTCGGACAGCACTGGCTCTTCAGCTTGGAAACAGAAATGAGCACTATCCCCTAGAGTCGGATTTGACTGTCTTTTGAGCAAGGGAAACCTTTACAGCGCAGGTAGACACCAAGGCACTCTCCACCAATGTTCCCTCTAAGCTGTGGAGTCTTGTGAGCAAAAATTCTACTTTCTGAGCTCCTGGCATTAAAGTTGTGAGCGAGCGATTCGGCTGCTGCATCAGTTACTTTGTTCTGGAGCCCATCCTTCCTGAGCTGAGACGAAATGTGTGAGCTGGAGGCTAAAAAACGTGGGCTAGCTCACACGCACTCAGCTTAGAGGGAAAACAGCTCTACACTCACCCCCCCAGGGCTGCCAATCCACTGCATCCCATAAGATCTCCAGGGGCAAGACAGCTGGTGCCCAAAGAAGCGGTTTCCCTTGCTGCCCCCTCGCTGTCCTCCAGAACTGCAGATTTTCCCCATCCAGCAAAAGCCCCTGGTCCACAAATGTCCTTCTGTCAAAGGGCAAACCCATTCACAGCGATCCGGCAGCAGCCAATTCCGTGGCCTGCTCTCTGTTT